GATAAGAGACGGAGTCGGAAGTGTCTTGTTCTGTTATTTGCAATCTCATTTTAGAGCATGTAGCAAATCACACAGTGCAGCTGGACTGCCAACGAATTGCTTTAGCTGAGAGTCCCCAGTCACACATCAGTTCTTAAAAAAAGCTTCATTTAAAGGCCATCACACAAACTGAGCTTCTCCTTAGCAGGAATAGTTACAGGTTCTTACCCATGAAGGGCAAGTCTGAGTCACATATTTCAAGTACTAGTTGCTAACAGGAAGGTAGATTTACCTCTTTAAAAATAAATAAAAAACCCAACACATCAACTGAAAAAAAATTAACAAAATACCATTATCAGTCTGAGATATGCAACTACCTACCTGCTGAAAATCTCCAGTAGAAAAGCTAAAAATAACTGTTGGAACCACCATGAAACAAGCGTTATAGAAAAGGACACCATATTTTCCCAGCTCCTGTGAAAAACAAGACGTGGTGTTTGGAATCACAGTCATTTGTGTGTAAAATACTAAGTAGTACTCTGTCAATATTCCTGAATTATTGTCAATGAGCAGAAAAAGCATAATAAACTTCAGTTTAAAATACAAGCTGATTGCTGGATTCAATGTTTACTCCTGAGCTGAGTTTCCACCCCAGTCACTTTGTATCCTCAGAACAGTATTATCGCACTGCTACACTTGAACAGTTCCCATGCAACACCAGCTAGCAAGAAGCTTCCCAAGGCAGCACTCCAGAACTGCTCTCTGCTAGACACCACAGACGTCTCAGCCTGGCCAATGGATGACCGGTGCCATCTACTGCAAATCAGCCAGGAAAGCAGAGGGCAGGGTGGCACCCTGGGGACACCACAATAGGGAAATTAATTAAGTCTGACTCCTAGATGGAGCATCTGTAATCACTGGGAACTGATGTAACTTCTATCACCTTGAGGGATGCCATATGTCCCGCTGGTTAACCTGCATGGCGCAAAGGCAGAAGACCATGGGAATGACAGAGCAGCCTTCCCCTCCTCCAGACTCAGTCATGCTGCTTAGCAAATCTCTCCATATTATCGCTTGCTTTAAAATGATAACCTGTATTTTGCAGAAAACTGTGAGGCCATTAACTGCTGCTCATAAAGAAAAAGGCAGAGTCTGGATATGATGTGATTACTGAGATTATTAAAACATATGTAATCCCACTGTGTAGACTGAACCACAAAAGTCATTGCATGACAAATCCTCTACCCAGCATCTCCAAGACTGCTCTTTGCTATGGCTTGGTATGCTTTCATAGCACTGTATTTGAAGAGCAGCCTGTCCAGAGTTTACATAAAGTATAAATATATCAAAGCATCACCTAATTAAAATTAAAGGATGTTTCAAGTCAAAAAGTCATCTTACTTATAAATATATATACACACACATACATATCTATATCTATATCTATATCTATATCTATACCATCTCATTTACCAGTAAACAATTTACTTTAGTTTGGATTTATTTTGTTACCCAAAAGCGACACTTTAAAGAAAATACAAACTCTTCCTAAAAGACCTAGGAGAAAATGAAATACACTGTTTATCTAAGCCTGGTCTGAGACGCTATTAACAAGTTTTTCCCAGGCTGTTGTGTATTATGGATGCATGCATCAAGTGAAATAAGAAAGCAAATGAAACTACATATTAGTTCATAATGGTATGCTTATAAATTTATATAATAAATTACCTATTGTTACCGTATTGTCATAATGTTAAATTCAACCTAATTATCCCAGTTACCTTTGGATCAATTTTCTGCTTTGTGTAAACTCCATTTGCTGCTGTGAAGATGTCATTTAGCAAGACAAAGGTGTAGCCCTCCAGGTTAAAAGACAGATCAGACCTGAAAAAGAAGTATTATATTATATATAAGTAAAGAGTACACAATGCATTGCATTATCATGTTTACCTAAAGAAATATCATAAATGAGGAAATCCAAATCCTGAGAACTCCAGCTGAAGTCACAGGTGTTGCTTTAAGCCTTCTTTGTAAGCCAAAGTACTTCACATTTCTCCAGTTAAAGGACCATCACAAATGAGTCATCGGAGAGTTCCCAGTACTTTGTGCAGAGGTGGCAGGAAATGTTCAGTTTCCATTCTGTGAAAAATTCCAGCTGTCTCAATCCTGACAATCTGTCCAATTATTACCAAGAACACTTACCTATTTCTTTTAACACAAAAAGTAGCTAGGGAACAAAGTCTGACTACTTGTCTTCTACAGTCAGACCAGACATATTGTTATCCTTTCTGTTTTGACTCGTTAGCTCGTGGATATAGAGTTATTCATTTGACGGGACACGGCTCTATTCAAGTCACATCACATGGAATTTGTTTAGCTTTGTACACAGCAAAGCCAAGAAATAAAAAATAACTCCACATTTCCTGTTAACTATAGGAATATTCAAACAGAAAGAAAACAGTGGAGACTAGCATATGAGCGGTTTGTGAATTAATGTTACACTTGAACTTGTTCAAAGTGATAAAAAAACTGACATTGCCTCATTCAAAAGATACCTGACAACCAAAGAATCTGTTTTTCTACCCAGAACAAGAACACATTTTCCTAAGATTATTAAAATATACTGATACTGTGAAATAAAAGCAGCATTCCTCACAGTTTTAACTTGCTTCATTTATGATCCCGCAAACACAGAAAACCTAGGGGAGAAAAAGGACACAACCAAATACTTTCAGCAGGCGTTAAAATTTTTGCCTTTATATTCCTGCACCTCCCAATGATGTCACTAGAGAGATCTTCCAAATCAGCTTAATGTAGAGTAACTTATCCCAACATGGCTTCACCTGGTACTTAAAACAAGGAAAAAAAAAATCCTCCTGTTGTCCTTTTTATAACACGATTTCATATAACAAATGAAAACCTTACCCAGCTGCTATGAAAGCCCCAAGAATGATGGCAAATACGCTGACTACAATACTCAGTGGGTACCGTTTCCTGTAGACAAAAATTAGACAGTTCACATTTTCATTATTTGAAGATGAGATTAAATGGCTGTCTGCCTGAAAAGTTTCAAAACAATTAGTAATCACAGAACATGTAACAGGAAGGCACAGTCTTGATAACCTTACAGAAGCTATGTGAATAAGCATGTGCCATGCTGTCAGACCTTGGCCCTGAGAACAGTGATTGAAGAAGTACTGTGAACATTCTGCTACTAGATAATTTTAAAAGTAAAGATTAAAGGTTCAAAGTAACAGTGCTGGCTGGAACACACTGTGATTTGCCACGTATTGGTATTCATAATGGACATACTTCAGTGTTCTCCAGTAATCCAATAAAGGGAAATCACTACACGTCTCTCATGTAGTTTTCCATCTCGTCTGCTTGGGGAAGATGCAGTACAGCACACTAACTGGGCTATTTTTTTCAAACAGATACTTATTTTGAAGCCAAAATGAAATCTTGTACTTGAAGGGGAAAGCATGGAAGCTTATGATATTCCTCACTATGTCTACATTAGCACATCTACAGTGTAAGGAAAAACACACTGCAAAACTATTGTGTTTCTTATATCTGTATTACTTTAAAAATGCCTTAAATACTTATTTTTGCACCACAGTGCAGCACGCCCTATGGACATTCCCTCAGTCATTCTCTCAGGCCAGCCCCCAGCTCTCAGCTGGCCCGTGAGAAAAGATCCATCAAAACAAAAGGTACCATGCTCTTGGGAGAAATCCTGTATGGCAGTGGAGCACAGCTGCAGGCCACTGTCCCACCCTCAAAGCTGTATGCAGTCTCTAGATCCATTAGGCTTTGATCATGCCACTCAGCAGTAACAACCCAGACCCTGACTGCTTTTCAAATCCTGAGGCGAGGCACAGACTCTCTGGAGTCCTCTCCTTTTCTGCCCCGAGGAAGTACGCTGCAGCAGTCTGTACAAACACTTATACACCACACTGCTGCAGTCCTGATGAGAACTGATGGCCACCTCACTGGCTCACATTCTCCTCGCTTGTGGGAGTCCTCAGGCCAACAGGAGAGGACACAAAGTTCTGCTTTCCCTGCAAGAACTTAAAACTAGAGAAAAGCCCAGGGCATCCTCAAAAATGAATCACCTTGATCAACTGCTGCTTTGGTCAGAAGGAGGTAACAGCTTACTTGGGGGCTTTTTGAAAAGTTTTTCCCCTGACCATCAGTCTCATGTTGCCCGGGTTCAGCTTCAGCAAGCTGCTTTTCCCCTTGTGACCTCACCTGAAGAATGCACAAGCCACCTGGATAGAACTATGATGATGACAAAGTTTGACATATTTATATTCCTGTTCTTTCAAGCCAGAACAACTAAAACTAGTGATCCTAAGTGCAATAGCATATGCTTCTTAAATTCCCATTAAAAATAAATGGAAGTATCTATAATTACAAAGTTTTCTGATTGAACAGCACCCTAGTGGATACTACTTTCCTTCATTAAACTAGTATGTTCTCTTTTAACTTGAACCAGAAAGCTACTCAATCATAAGCAGACTGCCACACTATCATCACTGGTTTGAACTATCAGGATCTGTTTGAAGCAGTTTGCACCTTAGGGACCTCCAAGATGAGACACAAACTGTCACCAACAAAAGTGTCTGAGTGGCATTCTGCTTACCTGACTCCTATGCAACAGTCAAGAGAATGAGCTGTATAAATGAGATCGAGCTGAACTTTTTTTCCTGTATTCAGTAAAACGTATGTATGTATGTCTTCAAAAAAAGCTACATAAACCCACTTTCTTTGCTTTTCTCTATTTGTCAGTACAAATCACCCATTCAATATTCTGATGAGATGCCACAAGTAATCTATTTGATATTATCTAAAATAAGGGTATCTTAAATTAAAAAAAAAAAAAAATCACCCAAGTATGATGATTTCCAGCAGTAAAGTGAGTGGAATGGTAAACTTCCTGAGCACTGTAAACATCGGCAAACTGTCAAAAAAAAAAAATCCATGCATAGCATCAGATTAACAGCATTTCTATGTTCTAATCCTTATCTAATTTTACTGTCCAGAGGATGAAACGATTAGTCCAGCAATATGCAACCGAAACAAATTCCCAGCCACTTAATGTATACAGAAAGGTCAGCGTGACACTAAAGGAGGCAGATTAGATAATCAAATCCTTGGAAAAGAATAACATTTCCCAGTTTGTAAAAATGCAATTAGCTACCTCCTAGAAGGTCCTTCTGCACCTAGCACACAGTGCTGTTCCTATTTAGAACAGCATATGAAGTAATTCTTTCTGTAGAATTCATGGGCAGGATAACTAAAAAAACATTTCTATTGTAAACTTAACAAGGACACACAGTAAACCTGTCTCTTGAAAACATAAAACAGAAACAAAATACAAAGCAAACATGCTTGGTAAACCAGTCATACTTTCAAAAAAGTAAAATAAATGCACAAGAAAAAATCAGACAAAGTATTATAAGTAACATGAAAGGTAGGACCAGCTGCAACTACTACACAAACAGCTACTCTTGAACAACATGTTGTTGGTCTACATGAAGGAATGCAGTTGGAAACCTTTTTGATGTATTTGAAAAAACATTTACACTTTGGAAATCTGACAGCATGGCCATATGGACCAATTAATCCTTTGTTTATTATAAGTATTATTAACTGCATTAATAAATGATACAAACCCTAACATGGAGTTTAATCACTTTACAATGGATATTTTGGAAGTTAAGCATAGGATCACTATCTGCACCTTACAGACAAGCCAAACAAGGTGGAAAATTCCGTAAGGTAGACAAGTGTCATGTAATGTAACAAAACACCAAGTAACAAAATGTTAATGGTAGAAACAATGCAGCCATTCTTGCTTTTCTGTTACAAGAATTTGTTATGTACAGTAAATCTAAAAGGAGGTATGTCAGTCACAGGAGGAGGCGACAGTGAATTTATGTTCAAAACAACATACTGACCATCTTATTTTAAAATTGCAGCTAGGGAAACAGGTAAGAAGAACACATGAATCAAACTTCTACAGGATTGAAACTACTTCTATATTCACAATGGTTGAAGTGCTACTAGGGACAGTACTGCTTAAGTCCTTGTGTCTGCCTGAACTGCCACCTCAGTGGAACAACTTCTGAATACATTTTCTCTCTCAGCACCTGTCTCAAAGTTACAAAATGCTGAAAACCTGTGAAATCATCCGTTTTGGTTTAGCTTACTACCAAATCCTCAGGAGCCTCTAATAACATACAAAAAACCACTGCAGTGGTAGTACTGTATCGTCCAATCCTGGTACTGCCATCACGCTTTTGCACTCCTCTTCCACAGAAAATCTGGTGATTCAGCCTATTACATCAGGTCCTCCATGTAACTTAAACCCTTCTAGCACTAGCACGGAAGCAACCCTCATGGGTCTGTGCTTATGGGTGCACAGGAGCCAGCAAGCCCTTCAGCAGTCTCCCCACCACCTGCTTTTGGTGCTCAGCAGAGCCAGGCTGCCTCCACTACACCTCTGCTCAGCAGCTTTTCCATCTCTTGCTGATTCCTATTATTAACCTGCACTGATATCATGGTACAAATCTTTCCATAAGGGAAAGATTCTTCTCCCTTCAAAAACACCTTTCTAACAGCTTTCAGACTCTCTAGTTAGGACACGCAGGGAAAGCTGGACACTTGGATAAGAGTGAAAGTGAAACCACTTTCATTGTCACAGAGGAGTACTGTGATTTTTTTGTCAGTACAGGCCTGCCTAAGCCCCTCTTAAAATAAAGCATACAACTTGTAAACAGATCAAATAATTGGGAAAGAATTTCTTAATAGTATCAGGGGTTTAGACAGACAGAAAGACATCATACTGCATTTAAGTCCCTACACAATGCTCTACTTCAGTGCTTGTTTTTTTACGCCCACAAAAGAAAAGGGTAAAATCCAGACAGTCTACTTATAACTTGCATTTACTGTACCTGAGTTTGCTGGTACTTGATAATCCACTTATGTGGTTTCCAACATAAATCAGAGGCAGAGGAAACAACTGTGATAAAATTAAAAGCACATCTCAGATTATTATGTTTCGAAGCACTGTTGAGAAACTTTACTTGATAGATTTGCTAACTGTAATATCAGATGTACTTTTATGAAGGGGTTTTTTTTAAAAGGAAAAAGCATGTAACTAAACTGATCTGCAGCACTTGTTCATGTGACCATTCGCAGTCACAGTTTCACTGATTTCATTAGAAGTCACAATCTACCTCTGATTAGACTCAAGACTCCATTTAGAGTAAAAGTTAATCAGTTTTATTTTAATTATTATAATCCTCCGATTAATACCCATTCTAGGATTTTAATTTTAGGTATGAAAGTAGTATTAATGTTAGATAAATAAGCAAGAGAACAGGTGGAATAAAAGAATTACTAATCTCTGTGTATGCTGTGCTACTCCAGGTTCTCCACATGTATTTGTACGCCTGAAAGATACACCATTTTAGAGCTACCCACAAAATTATGCTACATGAGACACTAGAAAGGAAAGACACGTATTTACGGGTAACCTAAACTTTACCTTTTCTAGCTTCTAGCATTATGAGACTGCCTTGCACAGAAACTTATGGGCCCTAACACAATACAGAGAAACAGTAACAGAGCTTCAGAGCCTTAAGAAAACATACAGAAGCCAGGGTTCCCT